AGAGCAGCGTGGCCAAGCAATTACAGCACTGGACGTGCAATCCGGAGTCCTCGAGTTCAAGTCCTGCACTGATCGCTAGCAGGATTTGCTCACAGTGGTCCCGAGCTCAAATCCTCGGTCACGCTTCTAAATAGCCAACTGGTTCGCCTCCTACCAGTTGGGATTCTTAACCTTGTTACTTTCCCTGAAAAGCCACACATGATAAGGGAAGAGGATAATTAATAGAACAATCAATCATCAGTTTAATATCAGCGATAATTTGAATCACGAAAGTCCTCATGTGCTCCCACTTTTATTTGTCATCTTTTATAGTTCATATAGATTCACTTATATGTTTCTAAGGAGATGTCATCTTCTTTCTTTTCCGTCTTTATCTTTCCTTTTCGTAAGTTTTTGAACAAAGAAAGTGATTTAGCAGAAGTAAAATAAACAACAATCGAGGCTTATTTACACGCGTGTTTCTACATTTGGCGCCAGCTACAATTCATTTCATTGACTAATCAAAGAAATTTAGGGATGTTCTACAGCTCCGTCTTTTACAGCAGGTAGGAATTTCATGAAGACTGTGCGAGCAATGACGGTTAAGATCACTGACGTAGTTAAAGTGTACTACAGAAAAATCAAGAGAGGATAAAGGGGACAGAGAAGGCATCCCCCATACACACCCTATTCCATAGGTAATTCGTCTCGAGTTATTTTTAGAATCGGGATAAAGTTACCTCGCGCGCTGCGTGGATGTTTCGTGGAGGTTTCGCATGACTAAACGCCGTGCAAAACATGTCGGGCGAAAGGCAATGAAAGCGTAAAGATATCTCTTTAGTTGTTTTCGTCGACAAAACGAATAGCAATATCGCTGTCCGCGTCTTCCGCCATTTTGTTCAGCGTCAATTCGTGAAGGACGCATGGCTCTTAGCGTGGGTCATCCACGCGGAACACATTCGCGCTATGTGATTGGTTGTTGCCTAATCCCCCTTGAGATCTGTGGTCTTAAAAATAACTCGAGACGAATTACCTATGAAATAGGAGGTGTATGGGGGATGCCTTCTCTGTCCCCTTTATCCTCTCTAGAGAAAAATAAATAGTGTTTTCCAGACAAATAAATAGTGTAGCCATTCTCCTCAGTGTCTGTGAATAGTTATAAGACAAAAAGATAACTCTTGTTTATCTCGTTAAGTTTGATCCTTCATGCGAGTCAATCAATTGCAATAGACCGACTACTCACTTTAATTTCATGAAAACGGTCCTTAGTAGGCTCCATTGTCGACGGATGATACGATACATTTCTTTCTATATTAGGCAAACCTGGGGCAAAACACAACAATAAAAGAGGCTTGTATTGGTAATAAATAAATAATATAACTATTGGAATGACAGTGATTTTAAACGCGGAAAACGGTATCAGCCCTTAGTGAGATAGCCTCCCACGTAGACGTTCTTAGGGGTTCGTCACGCGTCCAGTGGGGCAGGAACGCGTGACGAATCCCGAAGAACGTCCGCGGGGGAGGCTATTAGTGAGTTATAGGGATAAGGTGTTCCACGAGATCATCGGTCAATTGACATTGGTCAATTGCTCGTACCCTGTCTCGCTTGGGTTATCGCTCATCCTCAATGTTTTTCCAGGCAAAGTTTTGTGTGTATTACTATACAACTTCTAAAAAACCACGTAAAATGCTTTTTATCATTCTGTCAGAACCTGTACTTGGTTACTAAAACGAGGCGATACGACTCACGACGACCCACACTAATCAACACAACGACTCAAAATGACCAACAACATGTGAAAGTTATTGTACTTAGCTGGAACAGTGATGAAATGTTTTAATTCGAATATTTTTTTAAATTAAATGAATTTTTTCTGATTAAAATTAATATTTTTAAAATAATCGAAAGGAATTGTAAATCTGAATAGTTTTTTAAGTGAATTAATTGTAAACAGGATTTTATTAGTTAGCATAGTTATCAATAAAATTATTATTGTTATAATTTATCTGGATTTGAAAAAAACCCCACGGTAATCAAAAGAATCAGTGCACTAATTTAACAAAGTTAATCTGATTTTTTTTTCCCTGTAGGGGTACTAATGCAGACGCCTGCATGGAAGGCTGGAAACATACTAGCTTCGTGACCTCCCAATTTAAGGCCAAAGAACATGTGTTAGAATCCTCCAAAGCATATACTCGTTATAGCCCTCGTTATAAACAAAAGCTTGCTAACAAATTAGATTTTACCTAGATATTCTGTAGTTAGGGCCTAGCTATAAAGGGCTGAGACTAAGTAGTGTTGGTCCATCAACACCTTTTCAACTGTCAGAAGAAAAACAAAAAAATTATTTACGCAAATGGTCACTTTTATTTTTGTTTACAAGGGGTCCATTCTGTCAGGGGGGTGTCCCGGGGTTTTCCGGGAATTTCCGAGGGTGCTCCAGGGTGTTCCAGGCCTGTTCCAAGTTTTACAGGGTCAGGGTCAGGAGATTGGTGGGTTATGTGAAATAAGGGACTGATCGCCTTTCCCAAACTTATCCCTCCGCAGCCTACTCAAAATATGCAACTATATTTCAGTGTTACTGGCCGAGATTACAGAGGACCTTTCAAAGCAGCGGTGAATCCGATGGTTCTTCTACACGAAGACAGAGCTCATCGTGTTCTCCGTTACACTAGCCTAGCATTACCAGGATATTATTGTTTTCAATAGCATACCCATGATGTTAAATGAATCGCCATGTAATGCGATAAGAACAAAGATATGCTTTTCGAAAGAATTTACAATTCGATAAATGCTTGATGCAAGCAGCGAAACTCGCTGAAGAATAACCATTCCAGTTCATATCCAAACTGATCTACAGCGACCACATCACCATCAAGACCTTTTCTTTATCGAGTTGTCAGTATGACAATACAAACTTACGGTTATATATCAGAATATAGAATAAATGTTTTCAAAATGTGTCTTTAGTGATAGATTGCTGATTTCGACGCTGAATGACTCAATTTACAACGTTTAGATTCAAAACATAGAATGAAGACATGACCTCAATTCCATCACGGCATGGTATTGATGGTCAGAGAAAGCACTTTAAAAAGAGCCTCACCTGTAATTTTCAGCCTGTTTTTGTATTTTACAGCTTCAAGTGCACAGAGCAATGCTGTAGCTATCAGAACAGCAAATCGAACACAACAACGTCGACATCGGTACATTCGTTTGATTCTCCTGAAAACAGTCATCGTTGCACAATCTTGAAGAAGTCACGCAAGCTATCGCATCTCCTTTTGATCTCCATACTCCAAAATGACGTTGACACAATATGATTCATACACAAAGTAATTATTCACAAAGGAAGAAACTGCATTGACTATCAATACTTATTAGGGTTAATCCCTGAGAACAGTGATTCCGAGCGTAGAGAATTTATAATCTCGTCGCGCAGCCTGTTAACCGCGAGTGATCTTGGCCAGCTGCATAATTCAATGCCCAATAAATAACTAAACCAGAAATACGTAAATCGCAGGACCTTGCTAGGACTTTGGGGGAACGGCAAGATAAGGCAATAGAAAAGAAAATTTGTAAATCTAAAAAATTTAAGCCGTATAAAGAAACAAGACAAAACTGCAATCACTAAAAAGAATACTAAACGAAAACAAACAGAAAAAAAGAAAAGATAAAAAGCGAAGATAAAAAGATTCTGCCCGTAATCGATCTCAGGACCTTCGACGGGCCGGGCCATATCGTTACCACAAGGCCACATGGAACACGCAGAGGTAAGTTGACGAAAATAAACTATTAAAAACCCTTTCCCTTAGAACTTCCGCCAGCTCGACCTGTATAAAGTAGATCGAGCCCTATTAAAAATGAATTCAAAGATATATTTTTCAGAAGAATGACTGTTCTTTGGAGAGTGGAACCCAGCGTAAACAGGGGCGGATCCAGGATTATTTTTTTAGGAGGTGGTGCACTCGTCTCTTGATCTACTTCTTCTTTTTTTGCAGAATACCAGTTGTATTAGAGAACCGCAGGTCATCTCAGCGGGGGTGCACACCCCCTGTACCCTCCCCCTAGATCCGCCTCTGGTAAAGGCATTTCATACGGAACTACGGAAGCCCAACTAAGCCGATACGGTATAAACGCGTCTGCGAGCAAAACATGTTTTGTTACCGCGATTTTCGCTCATATCTTAAGGCTAATCATCCAAAATTGCTTTCCTCTGCTCTTAAAAGTACTTTAGCATTCGAAATTCATTGAATGATGTTGTCTCTACTCCGCTGTTTGTCGCTACCGTCTCCTTCGTTACGCGCGGAGTTGAATTTCAAGTCGGGGCTCTCGCTCTAGAGGATTTTTCGGTGTCAAATCTTCCCCTGCGAGGAGTTACAGCCGGTTGTTGAATTCGGCGTTCTTGTGCTTGCCGTTCTGTTCCATTTGTATTAGAAATCGCTTGAGATAGACCGCTGGAACCAAAAAATGCGCCGTGACGTCAAACAACTCTATGACGTCACGGCGGACACCATCGTATATGTACAAGAATGAATGATTTTGCAGTAATCGGATACCCATGTTATGCGCACAGGATTCAGTTCAATCGAAGGTATGTACGTGGCCATAAAAACAAACAAACAAAGTAATATTTACGGAAATAATTCATGGAAAGTACATGGTATTCATGCATGAGTAGATGAGGCAGAAATCGTTCGGGTGAGTGCCGCAAAACTAATTCTGATACAAAAACAGTGAGTGTTTTAAAAAATTCCGAGTAGATGTACGACATTCATACATTCTATATCCTACCACAAAATGATTGGAAAAGGCAGTCGAACTCATTGAAGCTCTGGATCATATGAAAACATTTTGGTCGTGTTTTTGATGAGGAGAAATCAAAATACGAACCACATCGGCGTCACAAGCGGTGCAGTATTGCTATCGCCGTCGAGCCGAGCGTAGTTACACTCGTTGCAAATACCGGCACATGTAACTACAACTGGAAGGCTTAAAATGAGTCAATCCCCGATCATTTATATCTAAGTTAGTACTATACACTTCTAGACCATTCAGTAAATTTCACAGTCGATCTCTATAACACGCAAGATAGACTGTTTATCGATAGGATTCGCACAAAAACTTACAACTTTAACGCATCAACATTAGTCACATCCGCTTCTCACAAATCACGGCAAAAAAGTGGCATTCTATGTTCAAAGACACTGCTTTTAACGGAGAAACAACGGCTTACTAACAACTCCACGCTATGCATTTCTTTGTTGCGACTTGCAATGCTTTCACCCCTGGCAATCCCATAATCCTGTGCGAATAACTAGGTCTCTGATCACTGGAAAATCATTTATTGGGCTGTGAGTTTGCAGCTCGCTATGATCCACGCGCGGTCCCTGCAATTCGCGCGCGAAGGCGCGCGACGAGATTATGAAATCACTTTGCGAGGAATAAATCTCTCTACGAATGTATGCTTGGTGTGCGCCAATGACGTCATGTAGCGTTACGTCATGGAGCATTCTGCGTTTCCAGGCAACTTAGACTTTGCCGCCGATGACCAGGGCGCATTTTCATGTTTTATTCATGAAAAATTGATGTGTTTATTCATCGTTTGTGAAACAATGTTTACGATCGGTGAATCACGAGCAATTTCCCATGCAAATGACACAGAACTGCAAGCACAGCAAGTGCCTGCAAATCCTCGCCGAGGAAGATTTTCAATTGAAACTCCTCTAAAGAACGCCGACTAAAATTCAGCGGCGACGGGATCAAAGAAGACAACTGCGAAGCAGAAAGAACGTCGGTTAGCACACCAAAGGCAACGTCGTCGACAGAGCAACCAGAGACATGTACAGAGGCAGCGACAAAATACTACAATTACAGTGTAAACGATAATGAACAACTGCAGGCGAATATGCAGCTAACCCATGCTATCTTTAATGCGTATTATTATTCATTTAAAATGTTTCCCCGATTCTGATTGGCTAAAAGCACACGCATAATTCACCATAACCAGTTACTGATGGCCAAATTTGGAAGAATTTTGTGTTTAACGAGGAAATGACGTCAAAAATAAGGCACCGTTAACCGAGACCTGGGGACGAGGTTGAGTGGTTTTGCTTGTGAAAACAAAAAATGGCGAACATTTCACTCCTTTCAAGAGTAAGAACTAGGCTAAATTATAGCTAAAAACATGGCAAGAACAGCAAGAACACAACTCGAAGGGCGACATCTGCTATTTGGAGAACATTTGCGCAGCTGAAAAACCCTAAACGAGCACTATCGAAGGTGAACTTAACATCGATGGAGGTAAACATGTTTTAGCTTTGTTTTTAAACTAGGAATTATTTTGAATGAATGATAAAACAATTATTGAATTCGGCTTTCGTATCATATGAAGAATTATGGAGATCTCGGAGGATAACACCCTCCTCGATCTCCATAATTCTTCATAAGATACTCAGTCTCATTCATCAACTGTTAAATAATAGTTACTTGTGACTCATTAGTATTGAGTGGATAAAATGGTAGGAGATGATGCTGCAGTGAAAATAACAAGTGAATGGTGGTAATTGGCAAAAAATGTTTATTGTTAAGTGAACTACAGCAAGACAGCTGGTGGAGGATGTCTGGTATACGTAGAAAAACACATTTGCGCTCAACGAATGAGTTCTTTGGAATCTGAGCAAGTCTAGGGCATACGGTTAAATTTGCTAATTAACTCCAGTGCTTTTATTGTTGGAACTATTTATCGCCCCCTAGAGATTTACGACTTCTTCGAACCTTTCCATCAGACCGCTGAGCAGCTATAGTTTAAATACAAAAATGTCTTCATCGTCGGGGACTTAAAACGCGATTTTTTAAACGTCAAGGAGACATCATCTTCTCTGTTTTGGGCAGAAAGCTGCAAAAGTTCTTACTTCAGTTCAACTACAATGTCATCAACAATGAACCCACGAGAGTGACAAAGAGCTCCTCTACCCTGATAGATCTAGTAATAGCCAGCAGAGTGGAGCTGATAAAGAAAACTCTCCCACTGGAGGTGGGCATTTCTGACCACAAGCTAATGTGTGGCTGCTAGCAGACAAAGGTCAGGAGACCCCCTCCGAAACTTGTTCAAGGCCGCACCTTCAAAAGGTTTAATCAGATAGTAAGAATATATTCGTGATATGAAAAACGCCCCGTCGTCTGTGTGTTCTGCTTTTAATGATCCTGATGACAGTTATTGGGCATGGGTTACTATATTCAATGGCATTTGTGACAGGCACGCACCGATGAGACAAGTGAAGATAAGAAGCTAGTCCCTTTCCTGGGTCACTCCACAGATACTCCACCTGTTAAATCTGCCGTATAAAACCCTGCTGAACGCACGGAAAACCAAGAATGATGAACTCTGGTCCCAATATCGGGGTTTGAGAAATCGAGTCACAGAGGAAGTCAGGAGGTTGAAGTGCTACTCTGATCTGTTTGGCCAAGTCAAGGACTGTAAATCCTATTGGAAGTGTATGAAGAAGCAACCTGTTACAACTCCTCGACTCCTCTAATTGTCTGATCGAGAGAAAACAGACATCTTAAATGAACACTTTTCTGCCATTGGCGCAAAACATGCAGGGGAACTACCCATCTTAACCTCTACAGCAGATATCACTTGGAGGTAATACCGTAAAGCTAGTGGAATCTTTTCGATGCCTAGGTGTTCAGTTGGATAACGAACTCAAATGGGACACTCTTGTAAATGAGCTAATCAAGTCGTATACTAAAAACTCGAACCTGCTAAGATCTATGCATTTCCTCCCTGTTAGACCTTGAACAGATTTCTGCTTTAAAGTCATCTTACCAGCTGTTAAATACGGCATAGCCGTATGGGGATCCTGTGGTAGTACGCTATTTACAGAACTTAAGAAAATTCATGTCAGTGACGCGAAAATCATATACAAATTAGACTGGTTAACTCCCTCAGAAGAGGTCCTTCAAAGAGTAAAATGGCATACACCAAAAACTGATTACATTACAACGGTACTAGTCTTAAGGTACATTCTTTTGATGGTACTTCTCCAACAAGTATACAAGATTCCCCCCTCCCATCAAGTGTGCCTCGAACTTTCTGCTAAAATCAGTCAGGTATGGTGCGACTAAACTATGGAATGACCTGCCCACTGAGGGCAGGGCAAAGCAAAGCTTAGCTGCCTTCAAGGCAGGGCTTAAAAAAGTGCAGATATAATTACTGTAAATAGCAATATTATTAGATTTTTGTAAATAGAAATGTAACAATTGCATCATTGTAAATAGAAAATTGTAGATGAAAACCTGTGAATAGTAATATGTAAATGTTTTCGTGCAAAGTCAGCCGGGTGAAGTGTTTTTAGTATCTTCTCGTTATCACTTTTTATTCACTTTGAGTTATGTTATACACGTTCACATCAGGTACGCTGTAAACTTATCGTGTTTAAACAAAAGATGTTGTTGCTGTTGTTGTTATGTTCATTCTGCTTCGCGGTTGTCTTCTTCGATCCGCTCGCCGCTGAATTTTAATCGGCGTTCTCCAGGAGAGTTTCAATTGAAAATCTTCCTCGGCGAGGATTTGCAGCCACTTGCTGTGCTTGCAGTTCCGTCTCATTTGCATAGGAAATTGCACGTGATTCACCGATCGTAAACATTGTTTCACAGACGATGAATAAACACATCAGCCTTTCATGACTGAATAAAACATGAAAATGCGCCCTGGTCATCGGCGGCAAAGTCTACGTTGCCTGGAAACGCAGAATCCTCCATGACGTGAAGCTACATGACGTCATTGGAGGATACGGAGCATATATTCATAGAAAGATTTACTTTTTTATTTATGGAGCATCGAATTTTGCAGCTGGCTAAGACCACGCACGGTTAGCAGGCTGCGCACGCTTTGCGCGCGACGAGATTATAAACTCTCTACTCTCGGAATTATGTGCTGTTTACCATTCGACAGTTAAGGGTCAACCTGAAAACGTGGCTTTCAGCGATTACATTCGTATGAATTTGGACCAACCATTATTTCACCAACCGAATTCGCTGGTTATCGTTGTAGGAGATTTTAATTCCACTTCAACGGGCCTCAGGCTGAATAACTTCACGCGGCCGAATAATGTCAAGCAATTGGTGAACTTTAAGACAAGGGACTCCGCTACATTAGACTGGTTTCTTACGAGCAAACCTAAACTCTTTCAAATTTCTCAACTTCCAAAGTTAGATACCACTGATCATTACATGATTTTGGCGCAACCGACTTTATCTACAAGTACTCCTTCTCAGAGTCGTAAAGTGAAGGTTAGAGACCTCAGGGACAGCGCATGGCGCACTTTCGTTCGTTGGCTAACAATGAAAGACTGGTTGCAGGTCCGTCAATAACACTTTGTGTCGGGAAAAATTCTACACGTTTATTACGGAAGTTCAGGACGCAGTTGACACATTTCTGCCATTTAAATCTATCCGTGTACACCAACTGACAGACCTTGGACTACAAAAAAAATCAAAATGCTCATTAAGAGACGCCAAGCTGTATTTGTTCGTGATGGAAAAGGTTCCGTTACCTACAAACTTTTAAGGAACAGTGTCCAGCGTGAGATCAAGTTAGCCAAGTATCACTTCTATAACCACAAAGTCGCATACCTTGAAAAAACGGACGTAAAAAATGGTGAAGGCAAATTCAATCTCTAACCGGTCAAGACATACAACATAAAAGGTTTCACCAGTTTCTTGATGAAAGCAGTGGAGATTTAAAGTCCTTAGCCAACAAGGTGAATAACTACTTTGTTGGTCTGACGGATGGTTTCGAGGCTCTAAAGTACTCCGAGCCAACCATCCAACCTGTTCCCCCTGACCTCCTGGTATCATTAAGTGAAGTTCGGACATCCCTATCTAGTTTAAACACTAGTACGGTTGTTGGTCCCGACATGATTCCTAACAGGGTGGTTAAGGAATTTGCAACCGAATTGGCCCCAGTTATCATGGATATTTACAATTGGTCATAAGTGGAAGGATATGCGCCTGGCCTACTTAAAAGTTCCTTCTTAACCCACTACCTAAAGTCTCCTCTCTGTAAGAAATTAAATTCTATCTGACACCCATCGCTCTGACCTGCACTATCACTAAGGTTATGGAGGGATTCATGAGAAGTAGCCTTATTACTCAAATAGCAGAGAACATTGACCCCCGTCAATACGCTAGGGAAGGTCATTCTATCGTTGATGCCCTAATCTACCTCTTACAGTCTATTCATGAAGCTACAGACACGGGGGAATGTTCCGCGAGGATATTTTTTGCCGACCTCTCAAAGGGGTTTGATCTCATTGATCATAACATCCTCTTGAAGGAACTATCAAGCCTTAATATTGATACCGTGCTGGTTGACTGGATAAAGGCATTCTTCACCGATAGAAGGCAGGCTGTAAGAATGGGGAATTTTTTGTCTGATTGGAAATTCCTTTAACATCCCTCAGGGGACAAAACATGGTGTTATCTTTTTACCGTAATTACTAACAACCTACTGAAGGATTGGAAATTAAGATTTCAATTTGTTGATGACACCACAGCCCTCGAAATCTTGCCCAGGAACGGTTCCAGTCTACTCAATCTAGTTGCTAATGACATTTACAATTTTTCTAGTGACCACAATATGAGTTTAAACCCTAAAAACTGCAAAGAAATGTTAGTTAATCTCATGCATAATCATAACTTTGTATTATCACTCATAATTCTTGACAATAACGTTGTGGATCGCGTCCTTTATCTATAAACTCCTCGGAGTGTATATCAGTAACAATCTAAGGTGGAACTATCAGATCGATTATATTTTAAGAAGGCCTCAAAGCGCCTACTCTCATTGCGATTATTGAGATAAGCGAGAGTACACAGTAAACTAACCCTTAACATCTACTTAACCACCATGAGACCTATTTTAGAATATGGTGCTCAGAGTTGTCAGGACCATTCCCGCTTTCCCTTCCGATAAGCTTGAATCAAGTTCAGAGAAGAGCCGTGTCTATCATATATCCATCTCTTAGCTATGCGGTCGCCCTTACTTCGACCCAATCGTACAAGCCTAGCAATGACGAGGAGTCAGTTATGTATGAAATACATACAGACGTTAGGCAATATTAGTCAGGTCACACTCATGACTACAAACTCAGGAAAAGGATGACCAGTAGTATCAAGACATTTAACAACAGGGACATGTGCCGTACGAAGCGTTCTGGTTCATTTATTACCTTCGGGATCACGCGTACAGTGTGTAAATGCTAAAAGTAGTAGTTTGTAATGTATAGCATTGTTAAATAGGGTAAATTTTTGGAAGGTTGTATTTTATTCCTGTCATTCAGTTTTTTTAACCGCAATGGTGATGAATAGACAGTTTATTATTATTATTATTATTATTATTATTATTATTCATTGCCAAGTCACTACAACCTGTAATTAATGTTCACTCTTCACTCTATGCAGGTGTTAATGGTTTTCTGAATCCCTCAATAATAACTGGTGAAAATTATCGTCCAAACTTTCTTTTCCTGATCCAGTCCAAGTGCCTCTATGTTCTAGAATTAACGTTAAATAATCAAGAAAATGGTAAATATAGCCATTAGAGCAACATATTACATCTTTTGTTGAAGAAATAGGAACTGGAATAACCTAGACTTAATGCAATTTTGATATATATTTTTTTAACTTTTGTTTTGTTTTGTTTTGTTTTTGTTTTTGGGTTTGTTTTTGTTTTTGTTGTTTTTTTTTGTTGCTGTTTTTTTTGTTGTTGTTTTTTTCTTTTTAATAATCCAATCTCAAGCAGCATTTTTAAATTGCCTATACGTAGCGAGATTTACAATTGTACATTAAAAAACACAAATAAAGTTTCCATTATTATTATTATTACCCGATAACTGCACTATTCAGTACTAATTTGGTACAAATTTAATTACAAGTAATGAAAGTTGAATTTTTATAAGGGAAACAACGACATGTCTTCCTTAAGGTGGCCAATTTCGACAAAAAAAAAGCAACGACGTTGTACAATTGTGTCTGATGGAACCACGTCAGTTCAATGACTTGAAACTGTTATAAAAATAATACAGTCACAAGGAGAAATTTAAATAAACGAGTTTTAAAACAGAAATCGATGATACAAAATATTCTTGACGTTTCGATGGCTTCATGTCATCATTATCAATAGCTAAGAAATTAAAATGATTCCCTGTATACATAAAGTACGGAAGGCGCGCGTTGAAATTGAAGCGTGTAAATGGAGAATGACCGGAATTAAATAAAGAGTCTCGAAAGGATGGAGTCCGATTGAGTATTGAGTTAGGTCCGCTTTCCTTTTTCCCTCTTTCAAATATCAGACACTCAAGTTTCCCTCCGCATTTCTTGAGGATTTTAAAGTTTGCGTCAAAGTTCGCACTTTGTTTTTTATATCAGCGAATCATGTTCATTTCTTAGCTTTTGATGAGGATGATGATGATGATATAAAGCCATCGAAACGTCAAGTTTCTTTTATATAGTTGATTTTTGTTTTAAAATAAATTTTTAAATCCGAGTTTTATTAGGAAAATGCCACGGTGGAATGCATGAAGCACCTAAAGAGGAACTTTGGCCCAAAAAAGAAGCTGGATCATTCTCCTTTATAAGGCTGTCCTCATTTCATAAATATAGTTAATAGTCATTTTTAACATAGTCCTAGCCGTTCATCTTTATAGTACAAAGAGAACCAAATACTGATATGCACGTAGCAGTAGTAATATAAAATAATTATTGCCGGAACGAACTATTTTAACGTCATGGGGTTGATTGACAGCTCCAGGCCAACTTTTTTTTTCTCTGGGGTGGTTCTCTAGGGCTTATGCTCGGTGACATTTATGGTTTTCGTTTGTAGGACTTGAATTCTCTTTACCAACACTCAGCTGATAACAGTTTAAATAAAGTTTTTTATATGTTAGAAGTATTGCATATTCCGAAACGTAAGGGCGTATCTCGAAGCTCTACGAGAAATGTAATCGCTTCCTGAAGTATTCCAAAAGTGCGCGGTCAAATAATTAGGAGAAAAACTAGGAAGTATTCGCAACAATGAAAACCAGCATTCAGCATTCGTTTAAAAGGGGTTTTAAGCGTACTGAAAATTTTAGCTGTTGTCTTGGGCCGTAGATAGTGAGACCTCTCTGTTGTTAGTACTAAATTCATATTAATGAGATTGATTAAAACATGTTCACTTAAAATCGCGTTTACGGAAAACGTTAATTGTGATTTGAGCCACATTACCAAGTACTTTAAAAAAAGTTTTAAGTCAATTTCATTTATATCATTATCTTTAAAAGTTTTCAACCTCAACATAAATGTGTTTTTAAATCTCTTTTTTGTGTTTCAAAAATATCGCCTTGAACATCAACCTTTCCCTTGATGGAACAGAAGGCCGGTCGTGTAACAGAAGGGGTACGTCTTAAGTTTTAAAGAAATATGAAAAGAATTCCCTGTGACAGTGCTCTTTAAATGAAGTTATTTACAATTACGCAGGAAATTTTCCCTGAGTTGGCCTGGTGATCAAAAAGCCCTTAGCTTACAACAGCGTTATAAGTTTTAAACCCAAATAATTCGGCAAAACTTTTGACTATACAATATTGAACTGATTTCTGTACATCTCTTAAGGAGAGTCAGGGTATAGTTAAGGTGCTTTGTAGGTTTTTTTTACATGTATAATTAAAAGTTTTAAATAAAGTTGTTGTTGTTGCTGTTGTTGCTGTTGTTGTTGTTGTTGTTGTTGTTGTTGTTGTTCTATAAAAATCCTCATTTTATGAGCTGTCCTGTCCTGAGTTGGCGCCCACCGAAGTTAACTAACCAGGCCGCAAACGGGTCTTCAAAGCGATATTCTTTTACCAAAATCAATGCAGGCCTAGTTTCGGCAAGAGTATCTATCTATGATCAAGTAGCTGCAGCCTCCATAGTTTCCTCCTTAAATAAGTGAGGCCCCAAGGCCGGAAGGACAGTTAAGCTTTAACGGTATATGTTCCAGTGAAGTCTACCTGTGAGTTTAACACCTGACTCCTAGGCAATGTCATCACCACCTCACTTGATTCTCGGAGTCGCAAAATGATTGCAAAAGCCCGTTTAAACTGCGGGTTCATTAAGCCATATATGAAAGGATTGGTCATGTTGCTGCAATATGCCAGAACATATGAGATAAGGTAAGCCAATCGAGGGCTTTCTTTCCCAAACGCTTCCATAAAACCAATGACAGAGATAGGAGTCCAGCACAGCATATAAACACAGACCACCGTTAATGAAGTCTTCAAGACTGCGACTTCTGATTTCTCTTCAAGTGCTTTTCCATAATTGGCTAACATTGAATGACCCTGGACCCTGCGGGAGCTAGCTCTTACTGTCCTGTAGATCATGAAGTAGCAGCTGAATATAATGGTTGCGGGGATGAAGATCGTTGTGATGCACAGGAAAAGGATGTAGGAAATATCTTTTCTTTTCCATTCGCAGGTGCAATCTGTGAAAAATACGTGGTATGTAATATTTCCCCAGCCGTATAACTGCGGGGAATTCACGAGAACCGAAAGGAACCAACATAACGCAATGACGATATATGTAGTTTTCTTGTTGGAGAAGAACCGTGTGTATAATTGACGCTTGACAACCTTAAAGTAGCGATTGAGGGCAATGACCGTCATGGTTAACAATGACACGATGCCAAATATGAGCTGCGTAACACCTGCTATCTCGCAAATCACGTGACCAAGAACCCATTTCCCATAACGAAGACTAATGATCCAAAATGGCATGTGGAAGACTGCCATCAAAATGTCACTGAACGCCAGGCTTTCAATTAGCATGTTTGTTATGGTGTGGAGTCTAGAATCAGTGTGAATGGCGTACACAACAAGCAAGTTTCCCAAAAAGCTGAGTAGGCAGATTGAGGTAGAAATGAAGACTTCTAAGCCGATTTGGACGTTTCCTCTTCCAAGAGGATCGCCAATGGAGCTGTTTCCAGTTGGAACGGTTGTCATTTCACTGAAGAGGAATGCAAAAACATACTGTATTAGGTTCATCTCTATGTGAACACCTGTCGAATTAATTACCATACCTTTTATTTATACGCCAATCAGTGGCAAAAATACTGGAATACTTTAATTCCAATAAAGGGGATCTCTGAAGGATGTGTTATGTTGGGATTCAAATTTTACCTCGCTGAAATGAAAACTGCATAAATTGATTTTACGCACTTCAACGGAGCCGAGATAACGGTTTAACGGACTAACGGATCAAGAATGTTTTTATATTGGGCTGTACGAAAGGCACAAATATGAGAAAGCCTGTGTTTGTTGTCGTCGTTGTTGTTGTTGTTGTGATGCCGCAACACCCTGCGCGCGAGCAGAGCCTACTTTTGTCTTCTTAAGTAAGGAGGAGAACAGAAGGCTCTGCCTGAGGTCACCGCCGCCCAAACGTCTGGACCAATCAATCTTGTTTTCTCTCGCCAAACTGTTGTTTTTCAAGTGAGAGCATCCATTCATTGATGAACCGATTGTAATAATCGAGCCCGCTGTAGAAAGCGCACAGCTATTAGGCCTGGATTCGAATCTACATCGTAGCAGCATGACGCACACTCTCAACAGAGATCTTACTCGATTCATGCAGAGTCTACCTAGAGTACGCAAAACTCGAGCACGTGATTGGTTACTGTAGTGACGTTCCTTTACTTATGTTAGTGAATTGCATATTGTGGGAAATAAAGACTGAGTATTTTAACCCTTGTTGATCCATTTTTTGGGACACCAGTTCATGAATATGTTATATGCATGTTAATGAGATCGCTTTTTTGATTGGCTGTGTTTTACCAAAATGTCACTTTGATAAACTGATTTCTTTACGTTGTTACTTGGATTAAAGTTTTTTAAACCAATTAATGAGATGTTAGTTAATGCTTTCGGATTAACTCTTAAATCATTATTTATACACTTTGTCTTGGCCTTCTATCTGTACAACGAACAATCTACTGAATACCGCGGTGAACCGCAAAAGATTCCTACCTAAAAAGGTTTCTTTTATTCTTTCTTTTTTTGGTTGTAAGCATATTTCTGAGAGGGTTAAGGTCGCCTAGAAATAACCACTTGCTATTGTTATTGACACTGAGTTTCAGGTATTACATTTCTAGGTGTGATAAACTTATGTCTGTTGGCCTGTAATATTTGTTTGCACTGGAAATGAAGAAGGTCATCCTAAATGTCTAAAGTAATCATAGCAGCCTTTTACTCAATATTAAGAAGAGATAGCGTCCAGCAGTGTTATCTTCACAAAACGGACGGTTTCTTTGCAAACTGTTTGAAAGCGCTTAGTTACCGAACGCATTTGTAAGAAACTATATCATGGTAAAATATAAAATAAAAAAGCGTGAGACATCGCAAATTTAATATCTTTTATTGTCTTCTTCAAGTACTGCTACAACTGAGTAGACAAAACCGTTCATACTGTAGGTTTTGGCATGAATAGCTACATTCTTGGGCATTAAGTTTATTTTTTGGGTAACTTGTCACTAACAGAGAGCCTGGGGAAGTAAGTGCTTAAAGTTTCTATCCTATATCGTCAATTATGGAAACATAAATGAAATATTGTGCACACCCCATACTGCTTAGGCCTTGCACTGAAGACGTCACCATTACGAACTCTGATTCTGAACTACCCTCAAGGACCGCGGGTTCTTGTAGGTCACCCGGATTAACTTTTTTCTACGGACATTTGACTTGCAAATCCATCTTTTTTTTCTTTTTTAGAGAGTATAAAGCGGAAAAAGGAAGCTAATGACTGTCCGTTTTTCAAGATTCTCGCAGACTGTTTGAGTCGGCTATTCTTTGTTGCAAAAACATGGTTGACCAAAAACAATTTTGTACGTAAATGCAACAGATCCATTAAAATCCAATACGTAAAATCCTATCCTAAGCAAGTAAAATAGAGTTCTTCGTGCTAATACTATATTTTAAATGTCGATGTATTTCCAGGTGGTAACACCACAAGTATAACTCCTCTAAGTAAGTAAAAGTGTGCTCTAACCTTGAAATTTTTGCTCAATTCCTGGAAGCTTTCAGTAAATATCATTTTAACTATATTGCTGCATCATCAGTCTCATCTAAGTTTGTTTTAATCAGCCAGTGCCACAACAACTGAAGTTAGCCAATCTACATTTGTGGAACTCGCTATCCCATGTTTATGATGAATGGTACAGTCCCGCCTAGCCAATAAGCTAGCCTTGTCCCATTACCACCTATGTTCCATGTTTATTCAATAGGCCTCCACTAGCAATGAATAACTTAAATTGAAAATGGCACTTTGATTTTTTTTAGTATTTTTATTGGAAAAGAAAGACAAGCCATGCAAGTCTTGTAACCTTATGCGTCTTTTCGTTAGACAAACTCGTTTGACCATCAAGCCTTGTTTTGAAATTGTACAATTGCTAAGCTTTACGTAAATGAATTCCCACAGCAGTAGAGTTGAAAATAATACCCATGCAGAA